GTGTGAAATAGTTGTATCATATTTCGTATTAATATCGCGTTACGTACATGATACTGTGTCCGCGAAAAGTATCGGCGGAGAAAGAACATTGTTGTCGCTTCGATGGCTTTACATTCGCTAATAAAATAAGGAAAACAAATGAAGCTGCGTTATTATTCTGAAATAAACTATTGCAAACAAGATTGTATCACAATAATTTAATTACCAATGTGTTTGCTATTTCACGAAAAATCGTTTTTGAACGGAAAATAGTTCAATATTTTTCACTTTTTAATATCTTTCATTCTAATTATCTGTATTTTAATATTTATTATTTTAGTATATTGATTTTCACTGTTTTATATTTTAGCATGCATTATTAAAGGATCCTATATTTCAGAAATTTTAATTCACTAGATCCCATTGTTTTTCTATTTCATATTGGAATATACTATATTTTAAACTTCTATATTTCAGTATTCCATGTTTCAGAATCCTACATTTTAGTATTCCATATTTCAAAACCTTAGATTTTAGCATTCTGTATTTCAATACCTATGTATATTCAATTGTACTATATTTTAGATTCTTATATTTTCAGAAGCCTATATTTTAGTATTGTATATTTCAAAACCTTAGATTTTAGCATTCTGCATTTCAATACCTATGTATATTCAATTGTACTATATTTTAGATTCTTATATTTTCAGAAGCCTATATTTTAGTATTGTATATTTCAGTACCTATACTCAAGCATACTATATTTTAGTATTTTACATTTCGAAATGCTACATTCTACTATTCTATATTTCAGTACCTATATTCAAGTATGCTATATTTTAGTATTTTATGTTTCAGTATCTCACATTTTAGTAGTTGAATCCCACATTCTAGTATTCCGTAGATGATACACGATCATATTTTGTTGCAAATACACGCCGTTTAAGTAAACTGTGACAAATAGAAAGGTGTCCGTTTCTGGGGGGAAAAGATGGATCATCGAAGGATCGACTTCCATAAGCAGGATCGTAAAACACCGGTTCAAGGGATGATATCGATCCGGTGGATACTTAAATCTAAATATTTAACGTTATTCAGGATGCGTCTATAACTACGATTACGCGTTATATCCACGTTTCGTATCGTCGCGATCTTTTCTTACGACCGGTTGCTCGGTGTGTTCTCTTTACCCTCTCCTAGCGTGGACTAACCACGTTGCATCTTCGAATCGTCGCTTCTCCGTTTCGTTCGACGCTACCTAGCATTAGAACTAGACGGCGATATTAATTTTCGTTATTACACGGTGAAATTTAGAGCGACGAGAAACTAAATTTTAATACAAAGTGACAATTGGAAATGTACGTCAGACTGGTTTAAATGATTATTGGATCGTGATTCCCTATATTCCTGCGTGTATATTTGCACGAATCACGGAAGTTGAACTTTCAACGACTAAATAACTTATTTCACATCGATTCCACAGGTTATCAACTGCAAATTTGAGTATTAAAAAATGAATATAAATTTTTGTATCCACACTGTATCGATTCTAATAAAATGCTCATATTTTATTTACTCAACAAGAAATACAAATCGAAGATTATAACTCGCCCAACAAGGCCAAAAATAACATACTGCATCATAGCGATCGATTAAAAACATACAGAATTTTAAAGAATTTATTTGACTTTATATTAAATTATCAGAAAAGAAGCGTAACAAGCATTTCGCTAACGGGAGCATCGTAATTTGAACGATTGGAAAGAGACTTGGTTTGAACTAAATTTAACCTGGATTGTTCACCGATTGATATACAGCTATAATAAATCCTTCGACGAGGGTATTTTTTGAAACGTATAAATAAACCGATAAATAAGAGTTCGAGGTTTCAGTGTTCCCCAGAATGAGCTGGCAGGATCGCTTCGGTCTTTAGTTTCAGCGATGCACGCGTTTTAGCGCGTTCTGGATTATAGGCCTAAAATTAGTTAACTCTCCGGTGTGCCACCTAACAGCGAGTTTACAAAAAAGCAATCGCGACACTACGGTATAAACAAGCCTGTTAGAACGACCGTGCGGTTCGCGTAAGCTCCTTTCGCGATAAACAACGATTACAAAGATCGCTAATACATACTTGGTTCGTCTTGCTCCTGATTACGTATCAAGTTGTCGCCACCATTCGGAATTCATTATGGTCGAAAAATATGTTCGTAACGGTGCTGTTTTTACTGCGAATTTCTCTCATTTTATTACCTCTGTTTAGTTTAAGCGATAATCCTCCAAGTACGCATTTAGAATTCTCAAAACTTAAAAAGAAACTATGCAATCTTCTATACAGGGTGTTCGGCCACCTCTAGCAAAAATTTTAATGAGCGATAGTAGAGGCCAAAATAAGACGAAAATCAAGAATACTAATTTGTTGATGGAAGCTTCGTTAAAAAGTTATTAACAATTAAATTCAAAAATTTCAAATCGTTCTGGAAAAATTATTTTCGGTTGCGGGGGTCAACTACAATCATTTTTGGTGAGTACACATACCTCCGAAATCCTATCTACTTTCGAGAAAAAAAATCGAGTAGGTGCTGAAATTTTTCGGCGAAAAAAAATTTTTCAAATCGTTTTAAAAAAATTATTTTCGGTTGCGGGGATCAATTACAATCATTTTTTATCATTACACATACCTCCGAAATCGTACGCACTTTCGAGAAAAAAATTTCTTACTGAAAATCCAATTAGGTGCCTAAATTTTTCAACGGAGAAAAAAAATTGCAAATCGTTGTGGAAAAATTATTTTCGGTTGCGGGGGTCAATTAAAATCAGTTTTTGTCATTAGACATACCCACGAAATCCTGTCCACTTTCGAGAAAAAAAATAGAGAAGGTGTGAAATTATTCGAGAAAATTAAAAAATTGCAAATCGTTGTGGAAAAATTATTTTCGATTGTAGGGTTCAATTACAGTCATTTTTGGTGAATAGACATACCCCCGAAATCTTGCGCATTTTCGAGAAAAAAATTCAGTAAGAGCGGCACTTTAAACGTTAATAACTTTTTAACGAAGCTTCCACCAACAAATTGGTATTCTTGATTTTCGTCTTATTTTGGCCTCTACTATCGCTCATTAAAATTTTTGCTAGAGGTGGCCGAACACCCTGTATATTCTTTACAGAATTATTTTGTATAATTACATTCCTCTTTTGCAATATTTATAAATTCCTGTACATTTAGTATTCTGTACTATTTAATTTCATGTGGTACTCGAAATTTTTATTTCATTGGAAACTTTTTATTGTTGGATATTGAAGCATTATCTTTCATCCTTTACATCTGTAAATATATAATAAATTTGAAATTTTATTTTTTTTTTAATTTTGTGTCTGTCCTTATAGAATTCTAAAAGAAATGAAACACTAAATAGACGAAGTACGTGTTTTTATATTTAGAGAATAGATTACGCTTGCAGTGTAAGCTCTTAAAAAAGCTGTATGACTCAATCTCTCAAAATTCTATTCTTCTTAATGGCTCAACTTTGCTGTTTCGAATTATTGGTCCGTAACGCGGTAAAGCGATCATTTCCTAAAATAAAAACATTTTCTCTGCTCCGTACCAATCTTCTCGCTCTTTTTAAAATTACCAATATTCCTGTAACTTCGTTAGCGATCTGAAATAGATCTGACTCAATTAACCGTTTGCAATCTGCGGTGCTTATTTTTAAAATTAGCGTGGCTTGGAAAAAATTTAGAAAGCACTGACTAAGCGTGTGTCTATTACCGCTCCCTCCTACGAAAATTAAACTAATGTAACTAAGCTCTGAGTCTCAACATTGTTGGAGGAACTCGATGCAAATATCGTACGTATTTCTTGCAATATTGCAATATTGCAACAGCTGATACAGTTAATACATATCCACTATTCCAGTCACTTTAAAAAATTCTCCATTTTCTTCTTTTCATCTTTGTTCACATATAAATATATCTTCCATTTAAAGAAGAAAATGGTGAACGATTTTTGAAAGTGACTGGAATATTGAATATGAATAAAAAAATATATATATATATTGGAATAATTTAAATATTTATCATACATAAGTGGAACAGTTAATACGTAACCTGATATGAATAAAGACATTGCGAGCAAATAATATTTTTATTCGTATTCATTATTCCAGTCATTTTTAAAAATTGTTCACCATTTTCTATTTTCCACCTTTGTTCATATATAAATGAATATATCTTCCTCTCAAATATGAATAAAAATATTATTTACTCGCAATGTCCTTGTTCATATCAGGTTACGCATTAACTATTCTACTTATATATGGTAAATATTTAAATTATTCCTATATATATATGAATAAAGATGAAAAAAAGAAAATGGTGGCATTCAGAATGTTTCAGGCAATTATATCTGTTCGTGACTCAATATTCCACCAACAAAAATTTTCCCACCGAAGGTCATTCGAAGATCACATACAGGTCATCGAACTCGTTTCAACATCAGCCAAAATATTATACAAAAAGAAATACGTACTATCGTGCAAAATAACATTGACAATTCTCAAATTTTGAATAATATAAGCTTGAAAGAACTAATTTCTTCTCCAAAAATATGAGCTTGTGTGAATGGTCTATTCTATGCAGAAATCTATGTGCAGAGTTTTAAAGTGTAATCTGATTATTAAAGATTTACGATTATCACCAAACAAAGATAATGATTATCGTGACGAATCGGATTTTGTCTAACTCTGGAAGATCGATTGATAACGTTTCAAGCGACCGAGTGCGTTTCGCACGTTACGATCTAATGCTCCGTAAAATTGTTAACGACAAGAACGAAGGAAATTCTCGAAAAAAAAGGTGAAAGAGATGTAAAAGAGCTTTAACGGGGAACGTAGTCGGAAACGTCTCGTTGTCAGGTGACATACGAAGGTGGAGGCCCCTAAAGCTTCGTTCATAGAGCGGCACGAGACACACGGCTGTATAAAGTCGATCCTCCACCGACGGGAGCCGTCAGTTCGGCACGACACCTCTGTTAAGCACCACAGAGGAACTCGTCTCTCGGAATTCTGTAACACGCAGCATGCTACCGTAGCTGCCTTATCATCCATTCTCAAAATTATCTCGATCAGTGCGTACGGTGAACAATCGAACGAAAACGTGAACAATTTGAACATAGATCGCGGCGAAACGAACGCGACCACGAGTAACTCAGTGAATCCTTGGAAATTCCGGAGAACTTGAAATTCGATATTTAGTTATGGTATTGGTTCTTTCGACAGAGAACTAACTCGTTACAGGTGATGATATGTGATCGTGTGTTATATTTTTAAAAAATTTCTTTCGACGTTTATCCTAATCCTGGTACGTTGCAACGGAAGTGTATCTTAAGCATAAAAGAACAGCGGTTTTAAGTAGTTCGAGAAGTCCTGTTCTTCGATGAGAATTGCTCGAGAAGTTCGTGGATCCCGATTTGGTAGAATTCATTCTAGATCGTACGTCTATGTATGATCTTTTTATACATCGGGGACATGGTTTCGATGCATCGACAGTTCGTACTAGATTCTATGTTGGGACAAGCATGACACGGTGGTTTATTTTTTACATTAGCCCGGTCATCTCGTGTCGCGTCTATGTAGCTACAACTAATTAAAGTCTACGAAAATGTTATCATACACGTTACACGTATCGTGGATCGTTATTTCGGTTACGTTTCTCGCGTCCCGGTGCTTCCTGGGCGCCTTTGAGACTCCATGCTAACAAATTCAGCATGAAATTAAGATACGCGTGGAATGTATTGGGATGGTGTTGGGCCATTCAAGAGTCGAAACGCTTCTGAAAATCGTGCCAGACTGTAATAGAGATTTCTACGACCGCCCCGATCTATGACGCGGGCCTCTTTTGCTCTACCAGACAGCTGTAACATTTTTTTTTTTACCGCCGCACAAGAAGAACTTTTCTTTTTATCGCGATACACACGAAACATCTTAAGGCGCTCTGTATCGCATAAATCTAAATTTACGTTCCTTTGATGAGTTCTGCGTCTATTTTCGTATTCGAACGCCGGTGGCCTTGACTTTGTGCCCTTCTTAACACTAAAACTTTCGTTCTTGCAACCTGTAAGCGACTGGCTGACACGATCAACTGTAATTGATCGATTTTATTAACGTTTACGAGCGTGGATCGATTCTAAGCTTGCTGAGGCCTTAGATTTGTTTTAATATACTAACGAATGCGAAGCTCGAATAAAATTTATTGATAATAGAAAATTATGAATCGTTCGAATGTGGTTCTTGCACACGTGTACACAGAATGTTAAGATTCTGACGTCAGCTTTCCATGTAAATGATTATAAAATGTCGCGTTTCCGTCATCTGTTTCATCCAACAACACAGAAATAGAAAAAGAAAAGGGAAATATTCAAGTTTGTCAGGGTTGAATCAAGATATTTGAAAAATTCTAAGAATTTTATAGAAATATATATTTTTATACAAATATCAAATTAATGATACGATAGAATTACAATACTTCCAGTATAGAATTATGAAAGTATAGAAATACAATTTTTAAAAGGTAGAAAAACAATTAAAATTCAAGTTGATGCCTGTGGGTTGGTCAAATTAAAAACGAAAAAATATTCGTCATAATAAACATTTTACTTTTTGAATATATCAGATAAAAATATAATTACAAATATAAATGAAAAGTAGCATCGATACCACAAACGATATAACTAAATTTATATAGAGTAAAGTTGAGAATAACTGTAATACATAGATCTAGATTAAGAGTGAATTAAGTGTATACAAAAATTTATAATGTTTTGAACCCACGAGAATAAAATAAAAATTTTGACTACGTTCCAGCCGAGTAAAGCAAGTACAAATATATTAACTAGTTTATTAACTTACTTTCTCTTGTCATCCCCATTTATTATTAATGGAATTAATGGTCGTTCTAGGTATACAAATGTATATTTCCCTCTTTTTGATTCAAAATGCTGTAATTTTCATATACATTATGTTCTTGACCCAGATATAATTATTTTACTAAAATATAATTATTTATACTAAAGAAGACCAAAACTAAAAGTCGAAAAATTTAACATATTGCATTGTGTCAAAATTCAAAGTTCGAGTTTATAAGAATATTAAATACTACTAATTTAATATAAAACTCACTTCATCAATGGTACATGTGCCATTTTGTTTTACGATTTTCTACCATGTTTTGGTTAATTTAAATAGTTCTTTATTTGTAACAAAATTCAGACACGTGTATATTTATTTTTTCGATGTTTTTGAATGATTTCCCCATTGAAAGAATTTGTCATTCCACGAAATGAATCAAAATCCTATGTTATTGCGGTGGAAAATTTTCTATAGAATTGCTTTTAATTTTCGATTTGTTACACGGTCCAATAATAATATTTTCGTACATAATTTGGTCCGAATACAATTATCATCCACGATAGCGCGAAACGTGGCCAGACATCGTAGTGTTTCCAAAAGTTTGAACATTCCGTAGCCATTTGTTGCCAAATTTATATTCACGATCGCCGAAACGCGATGGCAATGCCAATAAACGTCGCCGAAACGATCGCGTCTATCTAGTCGTCGAGTATCTTCTCCATTCAGTCCGCTTGGGAATCGGTTTTTTCGCTGTTCGAGATTTTTGCAAACGCGTATTAATAGTCCGCGATCCCCAGCGGGTCGATAATCGTAAAAATAAACGGTATTCCGCGTTATACCGGGATCTGCGTAAGTAGATCCTTCCGAATGGCTTCATTCTTTCCGCCGTGTTTTGAGTGCAATAAAGTAACGGGGTCTTGTAAACATTGCTGGGTGAAAAAATAGACAACGAGGAGAGCAGCGACGACGGTCCGTTGAGGTTTCGATGCGGCTATTGAACCGCTCCTGTCGATACGCGATCAGAAAAATCCATTGTAGGCTCTTACATAATCGGCGAGTGAATTTCAGAGGATACGGGGCGCGTAAAAATAGAACGGTTTTTAACATTCATAACGATCCCTGGGTCGAGAAAAAAACGACGTGCATCTCGACGATAGGTTTAAAGAGCATCGTTTTGCATACAGTACTTTGTCTCCATTTCGCGGCACTGATTAATTAATACATACGCCGGGGTATGAAATATTACTCCAGTAATGTATTCTGTAGTGTTTTGCATTCGAACGACATACGAATGGGCAACCGAATACGTATCGCGTAATTCATACGAGCTACGCGACTACTTAACACGCTCTTACCGGTGCACTTAAACGTGTAATGTTTAAACGACGATAGACTGCAATTAATATGCACGCGTACCGGTATTTAAACTAATAAATAACCGGAGAATAATATAATTACGATCGACTAACTGACCGCGAATCCGAGAAAGTATGTTTTATGAATCGATGAATATTCCGAGAGGTTTAAAAATCACGAGTACAAACTCGAATGTTTTTCTTTTCGATTTTTCTGCAGGATAAAGTAATGTTTGCTTTGTTGGATGTAAATTGGAAAAACTGTTTCTCGAGACTGCAAGTTACCGTCAATGATTAATAAGGGAGCATTATACGAATGTTCATTGAATTAATTTAAATACTACTCGACCTAGAGGAAGAAATCATTACTTGTTTTATTCGTGTTTATGTACCTTTGAAATTACAAGAGATATCGAAAAATGTTTCGAATAAAAATAGTACTGTTCTTAAATTAATAGAAAAAGATTACGAATTGTTTTTTTAAATCTTTTATTTGAAACATTTTTCGGTATAGTTTGTAATTTAAGTATTATATAGGCCTAAATAAAGTGGATGATTTTTTCTTTAAAATTGAAAAGTATATTTTTAGGTTAGATCGATGAATGCATTTCCTTGCAAGTTATATTTTATTTCGTATTTTACAGTATTGACACCACATCACGAAAGTTGGTAAAATAATAATTTAGTATGTTCTTTTGATTATGGACAAATAATACTTAGTATCAACTCTACTAGATATCTATAGACACAAGAACATATGGCAGTTAGAACCTAAATCAATTTGTTCAGTTCCTGAAGAGGACTTAAATCAAAGGTTGAAACGTAGATAAAGAGAGGTCAGGAATAAATTATTATTCCTTCTTAGTGGCTCAATGCAATTTCGATCAATTGAATCGTTTATTCGATATTTCGGCCATAGTTATGAGCCTTCTTCGAGAGATACATCACTAACAAACATACTAAATGTTTACCAAAATATATTAATACTAAATAGTTCTAAACAGAAGTTATGTGTAAGTAAAAATTATTACATACATATAACTTTTGTTTAAAATTGATATACCATTGTTATGCTCAATTGATTTATTATTTACATCTCAGTCGAACATTTACTATTTTTTGAACAAATGTGTTTTAATTCTCTCTTTGTTTTAATAATTTCGTATTAAATAAAATATAATTAAGGTTAAAACGTAGAATTTTTTAATTTATATTATTGTAGCGATTTGGAAAATCTAAATAAATACAGTTTGGAGACACTCAAATGTAGGAATATTCGATTTTCTTAATTCGTAACTTTTTAAATATTTTAATAATCAAGTGTATGGTTTCTGAATAAATACGTCGTGTAATTATCTCTGTACTGTGTTATCGAGAAAAATAATTAAAAGCTAAGCTTATAAATTTCTAGTTTCTTAATAAAACAAAGATCTTTTTATCTATGAAATGAACGAATACTTTTCGGAGATATTGTGTGTACTAGAATCATTTAGACATTTTCTACGAGCTTCTCTATCCAATTAAACGTGTGTCAGCAATTTAACAAATTTATCTTTTCACATTGTAACGTTTATATTTCATTTGTAGCTCGTATATATTAATGAATCTCAATAATAAATCGTTCTAATAGGGACCCTAAAAAAAGGATCAAAACATTTGGCTCGCATCGTCCACTTTCCCTCTTTGGGGATTTACGAGCATGTTTGTCTCCACGAGAAGTAATAATTCCGGAAACATTCTATACCAGTGGTTCTTAACCAGAGTACTCCGCACAACAGGAAACAGCTATAAAAGGGTTAAAAGGGTTAGAAATACAAACAAATGTCACGAGGCAAAATTAAACAGCACCAAACGATGCACAAACCGAATATAATTTTATTCATTTTCATTTATCGATGCATCTAAGATGTGCAATTCCATTCTCTTGTTAAATGGAATTTTATAATTTTAATCGATCAACGATGCAGCTTTTTAATCTTAATAAAAAAGTATGAAGGTATTTATATCCTAATCCTCGCAGTTCAAGAGTTGTAG